CATTCCTGGGAAATTCTTTCGTTAGTCTGAAAACGTATCTTCACCTTCTGCATTGTTGTGCCCATGGGTTTATGCGCCAAGTAATGCGACCAAGGTGAACGTGGATCATAGTACATCTCACACGTTCTGTAATACACTTCCCTACTAATCTTTAAGGTAAGAAAACAAACTTTTTACTGGAGTGATTTTGCACGTTTACGAGGTTTTTTTGTGTGTGAATGTTCTTGACTGCCTTTACGAGCCATCTCGTCAGATGGGTTGACTCTTCAACTTGTTCTGTACTTGTGTGTAGGTTTTTCTCACTATTATGTTTGATGTTACATGAATTGGACGTTAGGCGACTTCGCGGAGATGGTTGATCTGTTTGCTCACACATCTATACCCTTGAATTTTCCCGTTCCTTTCTGCATATCCTTAGGCTAAGGCCGTCTCGTCGGAATCCAATTGTATCTTCTTTAACATCTCAGCAGCCAGTTTATTATCCAAATGGGTCGGTGAATCAGAGAACACAGTAAAGGCGTTGTTTGCAGTCGCCCGTGAGGTTAGTCCGTCGATAATATTTTTGGATGAGGTCGATTCCCTACTCGCTGCCCGCCGAGCTGATGGTGGTCATGAGGTCTCGCGTCGTGTGCTCACTCAGATTCTTGCTGAGATGGATGGAGTGAGTAAAGGATCTCCGTAACCACTATGTTGTTTCTTTGTTAATCTACTCCAAGCTCATCTGAAACGTTTTTTTAATCGCACAGGTTCAATCGGGTTCGGAACGAGTTCTGGTCTTAGCAGCCACAAACAGACCCCAAGAGCTGGATGACGCTGCTCTCCGGCGATTTCCTCGTCGGGTGTACGTCCGAATGCCCGATATGCGAACACGGCAGGAGATGCTGCTGAAACTTTTGGGAAAAAATGTCAACCATTCTCTTTCTCGTACGGATGTGGAACGTATTGCCAGGTGCTTACAATCAATCGTTGTGTTTTTATGTTCTTAACCTGCAGGTCAGAAGACGAATACCATGCTTGCGAGTTACACACTGAAAGTACTGTAAACTATAATGTGAACTTAACCGTAAGCCTGATCATTGGCGGTATGTGTGTGGGGGAGGCGATCTTTAACTCGTCCACCCACTCTCCAAATAGACTGACTCCACTCTAACTCAATTGGGGGGGGGGCTGGCCATTTTCTAATTGCTTTCCCCTTCATGGTGCAGTTTCATTATTTGTTGAATATATGGAAAAGGGTAGTCCTTTGATGGGTGTGTACCATTCAGAAGGGTCCCACCACACACTGGATGAACTGAGATGGAAGGTCTTAGCAAATTGCACTCTGTCGAGTATCGAAGACCGGAGTTGCACACGATGTGATGTCGAGTGAGTCCTGCAATGATCCACGGCTTTTCCGTTACCCATTCTAGATGAATGAAATTTGCAGCTTATGTCCACTGTGACCAGTGGAAAAGTTATGCTCACGTCTGTTTGCACCGTCTGTCTTTAAGTTCGTTCAATGGGAGTCCCGTGGTTGCATTGATTGTTGCCTTTTTTATGTGGTACACAAGCGTGAGGGTCGGAAAGCAAACCACTGCTGAGGCCTGGTTAATAGTTGAGGAGTTATAGGCAGAACCGAATTATGGGATTTCTGACGGAGAACCCATTCCTCATTCTGTTTATGCTCCGTGAGCTCGGCGACGGAAATCACTGCTTGCTAATCTAAATACCCTTAGTTGGTACAGATATTGTACTACCACTGTAAACCGTGTCAGTTGTTCCGGATATTACATTCTTACTGATTTTGTTCACTTTACCGTTCTCCCGTGTTTGATCCAAGGGTCTTTAATAGGTTGATCTGGTGAAAGTCGAATGTGGAGCTACAGCCTTCTATTTGCGAATTGCAAAAAGGTTGACGCCGTCCTTGTGGTCTTCATAAAACACCAGAACTTCAATAGTTTGCTCTCTTTGAGGATGTATCCAGTCTTCTCAAATTAGGTAATCGTGATGTGGTGCGTGAGCGTCCTTCGTCTGAACTGTTCTGACTTTTGTACGACAAAATACTGAGTTGGACCCATGGTGGTGCACAGCTCTTTTCATTTGGTGTCGACTGAACGGTCTTCAACCTGTACGACTTCCACTGGCAGATGCTTAACTCATAGACCCAGTATCTTATAAATGAAAATTGCTGAGTAGATTCTGATTGGAGCCTTGATAATCGTTAAGCTGGATTGTTGTGCCCTTTCTTTCATTTATTTTCGATGTGAGGCACTGAATTGGAGCCTTTCGTGGAGGAAGAGAGTGATTTTGCATATCGCTGTTGTAGACAACCACTGATGAAGCGCGCCTTTCTTTTTTACATTCTTTATTGTTCAGAGGCACTGAAGGTTTTTCAGCCAGTGACTTAAAAGAGCTCGCTAAAGAGGCTGCCCTACAACCAATCCGTGGTGAGTGTTAGCCGCTTTTTTAATCGTTCAAATCTGTTCGGAGCTACCGAGTGTGGTTGCTTAATTGTTAGGCGGGATTGAGCAAGACGGCGGAAAATATTACGAAGGACTGCCAGTTTTCGTTCGTCAGCGTCATGTGATGGTGGTTGTGCCACGACTTCAGTGAATCAAAGGTTTACAACGTCGCCGACTTCTGTTGTTCGCATGCGTGATGTAGTCTTTGTGTTGAGCCTGCTGAGCGCTGGTGTTCACTGTCAGGTGATTACGCTCAACGTTTGTTCTATACCATTCAAAACTAAACCAAACTACCATGTAAATTTGTGATGTACTAGCCAAGATGAACAATCACAGAAAACAAGCTTTGTTCGCTACCTTCTTCGTTCTCATGACTACAACGGGTATATTCAGTCGCTTGAGACAAGTGTAACTGCATCCGATACAGCTTCTGTTACATCTTGACCAAGTCGAAAGCCTTAGTGCATTCTTTGTGACATCTTCCACGGCGTATGTGTTGGCATGTGGGCGCACCCTTTTGGAGCTGTCCTGAAATCTGAATGTGAAATTGATCGTAGTTTGTCAAACATTTACGAGGATGGCGATTGAGATATTGTTGAATTTATCGTAGTTGTAGTTTTACGTGAAATGTAAACGCCATAAATGTTCTGTATTTCAGGTTCCAGATTAGACACGAAGAACTCGATTGTTTGTGTCCGTGTATGGTTGGAGTGTTTTTTGGTCGTGTCGAGATTTAGCAGGAAATGTCTTCAGGTCTGTTCACGTACTTGGAATGAAAGGTTGTAAAACAAGAACTATGTGGCCCCATCAAGAGGACGGTGTTCTCCATCGTTGTTCAGACTGGTAAACCACCCTAGGGCCGTTCTATCTTATATACTGAACTTGTAGCCACTAGTCGTGGACCTTATTCCCTCCAGTTTCATTTTTTTCTTTAGAAATCAGCACCACACAGCTCCGTACAATATCTGAACACGAAGTGAGACCGTTGGCCTTGAAAGACTTCATCCAAAGCCTTAAATTTGTGCGGCCTTCTGTGTCAGGGACATCACTGGCTCCGTATGAGTCTTGGAATAAACAATTCGGCGAGTCGAATGAACCGGTGGTAGCAAGCCAGGTTGCATCGAGCACGGGAATAGGAAAACGGCTTTTGGGTCTGATGTAACTCGTTATGCACCAACGTTAATCGGGTGAGTTTTCCTTTCCCCTCATTTGTACGGTTTTTGTAATGTATGATTCTTTCGTGACGTAGCACTTTGATTACTAAGATTGGAATTCGAGGTCCAGTTTAAATCCAGCAGCATGTTAAAAGGTAACTTATTCAGAGAGGGATAACTTTCGGTAAGAGTTCACTATAGCGTCCCTTGTCATGCGAGATTTGGTGTATACCGGAGGAGATGCAACCCCTGCAGTGGGCAAAGCTCTACTTCTTCCCTGATGTCCCCTTTTCGATGGGATCGCTGTGCTAACTAGGATGCTCCGTATGCAGCTTGAAGCAAACTGAGATTCAAAAGCTTCTTATACTGTCACCTCATAATCTGACCTGTTACCTCTTAAATATATGAACTGTTTTAATCACTTTTTAGCATAAATCTTCAGCTACTACCTGTCCCTTTAAACAGTGCTGCTCTGAAGGGGCAACCGCGAGGTCAAAATCATGTTGATTTCTACCGAAAGCTGGGCTTCTTGGACCTGAGTGGGATCGTGTGTATGAAAAGCGCCAAATCTTGCGAAATTGTTTACTGAGAAACTACCCAATACTCTTAAAGCTCGGATCCGTAATATACGTTCAAATTTACCTGAACACAACCGGTGGCGTAGTCCACTAAGAGCATGGACTGGTGGGTGAAGCCCGTGAAATTCCCGTAACTACGGTCAAAGTCGCCCGAAAGGATGGTCACTGCTTTGAAGCCTACCTCCTTCATAGGTTCGAACATTTCTCAGGTCACATCCCGTAACAAAACCTTAATCATTCATACAGGGACAATATTGTCTGGAGGCTAGGCTCCGATTACATTTAATGTCTGCTTAGAATTGCATCCCGTCTTCACCTTCATCGTGCACACTAACTGTTGCATGAAATTGCCCGATAGGCAACCATCACATCATGAACGATGCCAAAACGACTACTACTGGGACGAAGGAAGTTGAGCTCGATGTCGAGGTCAAGCGCAACAGTTCTTCCAGTACAGTACTCCCTCTCCTGGAGGAGTCACCTTCGGAGGACGTTAGTATGTATAGGATACTTCCTGGTGAGAGGGCTGATGGTAAGGAATCCCGCGTCGATAGAATGCAACTGCAGTTGCGTCTGGATGCTGTATTTAGCTTTTTGTCCGTCCTGAGACCGGGTGTTAGTAATGCTACGTAGGAGTCTATGCAATGCCCATCCGTCCCTGCATCTGCATCATCACAAACAATTGCCTTTTGTGCCATCTAGCTAAGCTTCCTTAAAAACCACGGAAAAGACCGTTTGTCATACAAGTGTATCTAAACAGCAGCGAAAGCAGCTGTGTTTATTGAGTTATCGGGGAAAATCATGATGCTGTGTGTTGTTTTGGTTATGTCTTAAGATTTTTGATCGTTTGTGACATATATGTCTATCCTGGCTTGATTGACTTCGCATCTGAGACATGTTCACTCAAGAACAGCCTGCTAATGTATCGATACTACCAATGTTACCGACCGTTTAAAGTGACCTCACACAGAAGTCCTGGCCAATTGCATAGGTCATCTCGAGAAGTGAATCAACCGTTTCGAGGGCCAGAAAATACATCCTTTTCGTTTCTGAAGCGCGTATCTACAAAAGCAACTGCAATGCGAATAAACTCTGCCGACCAGAATCTATCTTGACGGAGGTCGTCTCATAGAGGAGTAGAGTTATAACAAGATCTTGCTAGTTTCGAATATGAGGCAATTGTTTGGCTAGGTTAGGTAATCAGGTTTGATACAAGTCAGAAACGGTGTACCCGTGCTTCTCATAACTCGTATCCTTCCGGATTACCGTGTGGTCCTTGAGACACTGACTTTTTCCATATTGCTGTCAGAAAACACCATTGATGTTCATTGCAGCATGACATATCGAACACCAAGCAAACTTCAGTTCAATCTATACACAACTCAAGTTTTAACAATGAAGAACAAAGTCATTTCGCAGCACGGACTTCCCAACCATTAGGCATGGCGCGTCAAAGAATCACAGGCTTAAAGACAAGTTTCCTATGTCTATTATTCATTTTTATTAGATGTCTGAGCCTTTTTTCACCTTTTATCCTCGTTTTGTTAGACTGTTGTGTATCGATTTCTTGAAATCGCATTTACTCAGCTTCGTTGCTGCACTGGTGGCATCCAGTTTCACAGTCATTTCCCGATTCGTAGGTCTGTGTGTATGTATCAGCTGGTGCTTTAGGATCGATAAACTTCGTTAGATTCACGTGATAGTGTTGGAGTTGATAGTTCTCCATCAAATTGCTGTATCACCTGATTAAAGTCACACAAGGATTACAAAGTAGGGTAGTTGAACCAGTGTAGGGGCGTTTTTTTCACTTTCTCCATCAAATATTTCCTCATCATATGTTGTGTTTGTTGTTTTCCTAATACATTGATGTACAGATATTGGAATGACCTCCATCGGCCTTGAGACGTTCGCCGATCATAGCATGAGAGTCCTGTGTTATTGTGATAACGTTCCTCCTGACGGTTGCTCATATCAAACATGGATCTTTATGAATCAAAACTGTCCCAGATGATAACGTTCCCGCCTTGAAGCAGTCAGTTGTTTCTCAACAACTACAGATGTTCTGGTTTCTTGTACTTTATGCATTGTATTCCTATCCAGTACTGTTGTTTTGATCAAGAGAACTCACCTGTTTTCAGTCGTTTTTTGTTACTTCCTGTACAAGGTTCGAATCGTGCTGTATTCTCAACCTTTCTGGCTTCGGATTCAGCGAGTGCTGTTTTTCTACGCAGCCTAGGTGATAGACAGCGAGCGAGTAATTTTTTGTTCATTATTCATAATTTTTACCGATAAATTGGTGAATACGGTTGTGGTCGTTTTATGGAAATTGGTTAGCTTTATCGAGATGATCGCCGTGCGAAGAAATAGCCACTTAGAGCTGGCTATCGCGAATGAGTGCCATACACGAGACACGTTTTTTGTAGCAAGGTCATCCATGCCGTATACAAAAGGGTTTCAAACATCGAGTGCTTTCCTGACTGCTTGTGCACTTCCCCTTTTTGATTATGCTCCCACGTTTTGGTGTCCGTTTCGAACTGGTTTTTCACAAAAATGGAGAAAGCGGCATCAACCACAGTACACCAGGACATGTGTGCCGAAGGTAGGAACCATGAGAAATTAGGCCACCTTGTTGCAAAATGCTTGCTGAAAATCTATCCACGGTGATTCTGGTTCATCGATTACCACAAAGAGGTTGCATCGAAGGCGCAATGATACTTCCATGATCACAAAGGACAAATTTGTGCCAGTGCTGGCGGAACCGTCAAACAAGGCTAACCTAACTTGAGAATAAAAAACTCAACACAAACCCATTACACCGCTGAACACCACTTAAAAACCTACCAACAGCCGAATATGTTACCGGTGTTTCGCCAAAAATGTACACTTATTCCAGTTTCATAATGCTTTTTCCCCTAGCCGTCAGATTAATACCCAGCCTTCTACGATTGTGAGGAATTTTCCTGCGCAAGCCGTAGTTATCCTGGCAATCGAGAATTCATCCCATGCTTATCTACTACGTTATTTTGAGCAAGGCGCCACACCCAGCAAGGACTTGCAATGTATTAATGCGCAGGATTCACTGGTTGTTGATCAGGTGGCTGTTAGTCTTTTCGCGATGGTTGTCAGTTGGCTTCCAAACGTTTCGTCACCGGTCGGGGAAATACCGTCGGTGTGCGTTCGGATGCGTACTTCTTTCTTAGACGTGCACGTTTATATAATATTTAAGGAGTGTCTGGGACAGAACAATCAATATTTCGGCACATTAATCAACTTCTCGATCTTCCTGTTCTGTTTCCGTTGAACACAACCCTGAAGTTTTCGACGAGGGACAAAAATCAAGATCACTCCACTGTTATGGTACGAGTTGGACAAAAGATATGAGTCGCATTTAGCCTGAACTGCCGGTCACTCTGCATTATGATCTGTATTGGATGTGTGGAACTGAGTGAATTTCGTTGCATCTATGGAGCGGAGCGAGTTCAAAGGCGCAAATGAAATCGCTTCCAATTTAGCTCTCTCTGCTACTCAGTTACCGGTCGATTTTGGCAGGACAGACAATCCACACTAAAAAGTGACTGGGCAAATCATCGTTTTCAAAACATCCTCAGGTAGAATCGGTAAGATTGTCTTCTTTTCGAGCTGTTTCTCAGGTTGGGGTTTCTTAAAAATAGAAAATAATGTGGTTTTGACGAGAGACTCACCTGGAACCCAACTGAATTCCTTGTTCTCAGGCAACTGGATGTGCTGCACAAGGCCGCCTCATGTTTCAGTTGGTGCGAGATTCAGCTGGGTTCCAGATGAGTCTCCGGTCAAGATCAGATTGACATGCAAGTAAGTGTATTTGTCGAAATCTGTCCAATTTGGGTTCAAGTAGAACATGGGGTTGATGGAAACTTGGGATTTGTGCGTGCCTGATGAGCTCGAAGGAGGGCGAAGCCGGTCGTGGGCTGTCGAGGAGTTTTCAGCAAACTTATGACTAGTTTAGTACATCCACAGAAGGCAATATGCCTGTGAATTGTTTGTCCTGGATGCGGGTGTGTAGCGAGAGGTTTATTGTTTCTTATTTCATCAGAATATTGTTTTCCGATCTGGTAGAAATAGAGTGTGTCCACGAAGGGAGTATATGGGACACGCACTCATCCGCTGCACTGTTTCAATCGTTCTTTATTCGTGTTTCATACATTTTACAGACACGCTCTGGGATTCGCTATTGACTAACTAAGACTAAGAAATCAAACGTTGCATTAAATCCAGTAGTTGGTGACAACGAAGGGATTGGAGGTTGGGTTGCTTAACTCAGTTAATTTGCACTCACTCAAGATTATCCTATGTGGGGACTGATGATAAATTAGAAACCAACGGACCATGAACACATCGGTTTCCGAATCGCTGATGGGAATTCGGCAACAGGCTTTTTGGCTTTTCGGTTCGGACTGGGATGTTATGGCCTCCTGTCTACATACAGTAAGCGATATATATACGTCTGAGTGGTTAGAGCGCGAATCTACTGACCAGAAGGTCCGTGGTTCGAACCCGACCTCTGCCTCTCGACTTCCCCTGTCTATGCTTGGGCAACCTAACAGTATCCGAGTCCTGGTGCTTCCTTCTGGTGGCACGGCATTTAGGCACCGAAAGAGTGCTACTGCTGAATGAAGGGACGTCTAGGCTGTAACAGTTTAGAAGCATTGTATGAACGTCCTTTTTGGAGTGGGGCTCCCGATCTCGAAATTCGTACTCTTACGAGAATGGGAACACATCTATTTCAATTCAGTAGAGAGTGAATCTCAGTCTTGAGTGAGAAAACTGAAGCGTAGCGCTCCATAAATGCATCTGTCAGTCAATTGCAAATACTCTGACGCTGTCAGACTCGAAAGCTTGTTTGCTTTGCGGAGATGGAATGACTGTATGAGGGCCCCAGAGATGAACGTCCTCACTACGGTAAGCAGGTGTAATGGCACGAGGGTGCGGCAATACGAAAGGCAGAAGTTCAATTTTTCTCTACTAACGGTTTCCCAGCCTTCAAAAAAGTAGCTTAGAAATATCACTGCAGTGTTTTATGAAATTGCTGTGAGGCTAGCGAATGGTTACTTAACAAACGTCTAGATAGGCATTATGCTATGGATGGCCTCGTTGGTGACCATGCCGGTGGGGAGCGAGAGACGATTACGTACACGTTCAGATACCCAAGCTTACCATTGGATTCTTCAGAATGGAGATTTTATTTGTGAAGAGGAATGCGCAAATAAAATGACGGAATCTGAGAATTGGTCTTCAGGATTACTCCTCTGCGTGTCCATGAGGAAAACAGCTTTGTATCTGTACGCAAAGCGTGACAAAACCGAATGCACCACATGGTGGTTCTTCGATGGACGCGTTCGTAGCCCACCAGGGAGCAAAAACGGGTTTGCGGAAAATATGACCTTTTCGTGGTCGTATGCATGGTATTGTACTGGATTTTCGGTTACGTTGACAGTTAGAAACGAAGTCACGGTGCTTTACCCCTGAGTGAAAGTCTAAACTAGGTACTGAAAATAATCCAGTAGTCGGGTTGAGGAATGTGCAATCAATATGCCGACATGACAAGGTTTTTCCGGTGGATCATTTTATGTTTTCTGGTGCACCGGGAATCTCGGCATTCTCCTATTGACTTAGAATTCTCTTTTACCCCGTTTTTGCGTCTACATATGGCACTGACCCCTGCGCCTCAGTTGGTTACTTGACGATTGCCCTCCAACTCGTGGGGCGTCGTAACAACTTATTGGCATCTGCCGTTGTCGCAGAACGATAGATTTTCCTCATGATCAGCTGTTTTGAAGGACCCCAGTTACAGTGTTTCTATTGGATGCTTGCTTCCACATAGTCCACTCACGTGTTCGTTGTCTGTCTTCGGGAATACGCAGTTCCACGTGAGCTTTCTGACAAGTAGAACGGGGACTCTTCTCCCCGATTTTAGGACAAGGATACAGTCGCTTCTTCATTTATCGAGACTGGCAATAAAATAGTGTTTCGGGCCCTTACTTCCTGCGTTTTTGTGGTGGATCTAAAGCTAGGTAGTGTTTCATACGTCATTACTATTACTATTATTACTGATGCTGTCATTGTCCTTATTACTAAGCACATCCAAAATGTGAAGATAGATTCAGAGTACTGGTTTTCCAGTTTTAAAATCATATTTTCCCCAAACTTTCAGTGACCGGATTCTTCATAGAACCTGCCTTCAAGCCGGTACACAGGGTACTCTAGATTCTTGTTGGCTTGCAATCCATCCACAAAGTACCCGATAGAGCATGGGTAGACGTGGAAAACGGTTAAGACGAGGTGAGTGGGAGTGAAATACAGTTAACCAAACCAGTTATCAGTTCAAATTGCATGTACAGACCTGCCAGTTCAGCCGCAAGTACAAGTCCACAATGTATCTCTGGGAACGTCCTTTAGTATATCCTTTAGAACGTTGCGGACAGGTGAAAAATGCCTAGCCTAATCGAGGGAATGCCTATGTGAGCATGAGTTCGGCAGCAGCTCTGTTGTACTGGTGTAGGAAAAAGCAGGGAATGAAGAGTCTTCCAAAGCTGCGTGATCCTGTAGATACTGATCGGCAATGTGATCAGTTCGCACTTAGGATTGATCTACTCAGAATGTCTCTGAATTACGACCTGTGTGACTGAAGGATCATCGGCGCTATATCCTGTGTTTAATTTAAAGACGCTGTATTCTTCGCTTGTTTCGATCCCATTCACTTTCACTATTCGTCGAAACTAATATGAGGTGCAGCACGGTACTTGATAAACAGAAACTCTGGAATGTCCGATGGCGTTTCTAGAATTTGAGCATATGTCTGAAGGACCGATTTGCAGCACGCGTGTGAGGTTACAATCAAAACCTAGCCTTGCATTTTTTTTATTTTCTTGTTGATACGCCCAAGTTACTTATCTACATTCAGTAGTTTGATGACGGAATGCGGATGGATCCCTTCTCGAAAAACGACCGCCGGGAATACGTATCCATTTGGTCTATGGAACGCCAGTAGCAATCAGCATGGTAACGTGAAACATGCATTTGGTAGGATGGACCGAAGTCCCGACAAAAACAATATCAGCTGACAGGCACGCGGAGTCACGCAAAAGGTCACAGCACGGGTAGCCATGTGGAAAACTTGACAAGCCGTCAGACAAATAATACGAACTAATTCTTGTCTGTCCAGTGGTGCAGTGGAAATTATCAACAGTTTTGTCCTTGAGAATATGGTCCGGGGTGGACATGAATTTGACCCGAAGCATTTAGTGTTTTATAATTGTGAGGACTGCGTA